TACATGTGTTTCAAGTCTTACTTTCATACTTGAGTAAGTTCCTACATGTGTTTCAAGTCTTACTTTCATACTTGAGTAAGTTCCTACATGTGTTTTAAGTCTTACTTTCATACTTGAGTAAGTTCTTACAGGTGTTTCAAGTCTTACTTTTTCATATTTGAGTAAGTTCCTACATGTGTTTCAAGTCTTACTTTTTCATACTTGAGTAAATTTCTACACGTGTTTCAACTCTTACTTTCTTATGCTTGAATAAGTGTTTCAAGTCTTACTTAAATTCCTATATGTGTGTTTAAATTTTTTCAAAGATTGTATTTTATATAAAATAATGCAAAAATTCATAGTTGTGGTATTTATTTGTTAATTTCTTTTTTGTAAAAGCTGAATTAATATGTGTATACATCTTTAACTTATAGTGTATCTACTTTTTAGTCAAAGAGAAAAGCATGTTTTTCTAAGCAAAAAGAGAGTGCCTCCTGGTGTACCTCCTGGTCCTCCTCCTGAACTATCTGATGATGAAGAAGATCCTTATGATCCAGAAGAAGGTATCAATTTAGAATTTTTGTTCATTTCTTTTTTAATAGTAGAGAATAGAGACTTGTGTAAGGAGGTTATTTGTTCTCCAAAAATTGAGCTATTCTAAATTTCTAAAGTAATAGTATTTTTCATTGTGTGTAGTATTTCTTAAATTCTCTCTGTAGTTGGAATAAATCTTTATAGCCTGCTGTCATCAAATTTCAGTAGATCTTTATTTTTTAATATGTGATAGATAAAGCTTTTTTTTAAGTATCTTTAGTGTGTTGTAAAGTAGCTGGTTTAAAAAACAACTTCAGATTGTTTGAAATTAAAAACTTGTATCCTTTTCTCTTGGAGAAAGATATGAAAACACTATATGTTATTTATACTTGATGAAACAAAATAATAAACTTCATGGAGTTAAGCATTTTGTTAATTCGTTAGTATTAAAAAGATGTTGTATTGTGTCTTCATTGTATTTACCAGAAAAAGGGCAACATGGAAAGATGTTGTAATGTATCTGTATTGTTGGTATGTGCTAGTTGTAGCAGAAAATGAGTAGGTGTTTTGATTTAACACACACTAAATTATTTATAACTTGAGTAAAGCAGATAGGTTTTTTTGACTTGATGAACTGAATATTTTTGTATTTGATTTATGAAAATAGCTGTTATTTAATCACAACAACAGTATTAGGACAACAAGTGTTCTATTAGACATGTAACTGATTGATGTTTAAATAAACTAATATTTATTGTTCAGTGATAATGCTGTTATTCAATCACAACAAGTGTTCTATTAGACATGCATCTGATTGATGTTTAAATAAACTAATATTTATTGTTCAGTGATAATGCTGTTATTCAATCACATCAAGTGTTCTATTAGACATGCATCTGATTGATGTTTCAGTGAATTAATACATTTTGTTCATTGATAATTCTGTGAAGAAGTTTTAAGTGTTGAACAAGTACTCTGCAAAGTGTATTTGTTAATGGTGAATATTTTGTTACATTGTGCTTAACACCTAAGAATATTAACTATTGTAATAACTCATTGATACGTGTAATTGCATCACATTGAGTATTCATTTTGGACAGGTAACCAATATGTTTTTAGAATTAGTTACTGGAAAATCTGCTTTATTTTTATAGAACCTCTGATTGACCATGTGGATCCTCTAGAAGATATTGAATCTGAGAAACCATGTAAGAAATTTAGCCTTTTTGAAAAGCATCCTGTAAATAATATTTTGATGTATAAATATTGTGTTTGTGTAAGTGTGTGTGAATGTTAAATTCAAAACTGTCTGTTAGCTGTAAATGTAGTAGTATTTCTACAAACGTTTAATATAGCTTAATATTTAGAGTTATCATTCAGAGTCACACATTAATAAGTATTGCACTACCTGTACTAAAGTGTACAGTATAGCGTGAGTGATAGAGTTAGTATTGACCATTAATTTATCAGACACACATTCTTAAGTCAAGTACTATCTGAACTAAAGTTTGTAGTATAGTGTGTGTGGTAGAGTTAGTATTGACTATTAGTTTTCAGACACACATTCTTAAGTCTAGTACTATCTGAACTAAAGTGTACAGTATAGCATGAGTGATAGAGTTAGTATTGACTATTAGTTTTCAGACACACATTCTTAAGTCTAGTACTATCTGAACTAAAGTTTATAGTGTGTGCGGTAGAGTTACTATTGACTATTAGTATTCAGACACACACATTCTTAAGTCTAGTACTATCTGAACTAAAGTTTACAGTATAGTGTGTGTGTGTGGTAGAGTTAGTATTGACTATTAGTTTATCAGACACACACATTCTTAAGTCAAGTACTATCTGAACTAAAGTTTGTAGTATAGTGTGTGTGGTAGAGTTAGTATTGACTATTAGTTTTCAGACACACATTCTTAAGTCTAGTACTATCTGAACTAAAGTGTACAGTATAGCATGAGTGATAGAGTTAGTATTGACTATTAGTTTTCAGACACACATTCTTAAGTCAAGTACTATCTGAACTAAAGTTTATAGTATAGTGTGTGCGGTAGAGTTACTATTGACTATTAGTATTCAGACACACACATTCTTAAGTCTAGTACTATCTGAACTAAAGTTTACAGTATAGTATAGTGTGTGTGGTAGAGTTAGTATTGACTATTCATTTATCAGACACACACATTCTTAAGTCAAGTACTATCTGAACTAAAGTTTATATTATAGTGTGTGTGGTAGAGTTAGTATTGACTATTAGTTTTCAGACACACATTCTTAAGTCTAGTACTATCTGAACTAAAGTTTATAGCATAGTGTGTGTGGTAGAGTTAGTATTGACTATTAGTTTTCAGACACACATTCTTAAGTCAAGTACTATCTGTAATAAAGTTTATATTATAGTGTGTGTGGTAGAGTTAATATTGACTATTAGTTTTCAGACACACACATTCTTAAGTCAAGTACTATCTGAACTAAAGTTTGTAGTATAGTGTGTGTGGTAGAGTTAGTATTGACTATTAGTTTTCAGACACACATTCTTAAGTCAAGTACTATCTGTAATAAAGTTTATAGCATAGTGTGAGTGGTAGACTTAACATTCACTGTAATTTATATCACACAAATTCAAAGTCTAAACACATATAGAAGAAGAGGTACTCACATTTAAAAAAATATATTTTTTCATTTATTATACTTTTAAATGACTTTGTGAAAGTTCTTTGTTATTTGAGGTTGCTTGTATTAAGTGTGTTACCTTTTCAAGAATACTTACATAATTTGGAGCAAACATTGTAACGGGATCACTACTCTTTGGAGGAACTCCTAAGTGATACTTTTCAAAATACTTTGGCAGTACACTTGTTTAATGGGAAGAAAAATTAGGTTGGTTCTGTGTAGTAAAGTTTAGGTTTTTAACTTTTTAAACAGAATTCATTCCACAGAAAGTTTCATTCAGAAAAAGTTATTAACTGTTGATAGTTGAGTTACAAAATGGTTATGTATCTGTAACAACAGAATGTGGGTTGTGTGAATACTGTATTAGTGGCTGATGACAGTAGTGTACAAAACAGTTATGAAGTATCTGTAACAACTGTATGTGGGTTGTATGAATACTGTATTAGTAGCTGATGACAGTAGTGTTACAAAACAGTTATGTATCTGTAACAACTGTATGTGGGTTGTATGAATACTGTATTAGTAGCTGATGATAGTAGTGTTACAAAACAGTTATGTATCTGTAACAACTGTATGTGGGTTGTATGAATACTGTATTAGTAGCTGACGACAGTAGTGTTACAAAACATTTATGTATCTGTAACAACTGTATGTGGGTTGTATGAATACTGTATTAGTGGTTGATGACAGTAGTGTTACAAAATGGTTATGAAGTATCTGTAACAACTGTGTGTGCGTTGTATGAATACTGTATTAGTGGCTGATGACAGTAGTGTTACAAAATGGTTATGAAGTATCTGTAACAGCAATGTGTGGTTTGTGAATGCTGAAAATATACATGGGAATTATCTTGTGAGAAGTCTTTTTTTTTTTTTTCAGTTAGAGGGAGAAAGATACGGTTTGCTGATGAAGAGGAAGATGATCACATGGATGATGGTCCTCCTGGTGAGGAAAAGAAAGTTGAACAAAGTACAGAAGATAAAGAGGATGAAGACGGTGATACCCTTCAGCCAACACCACTTCAAGCCAAAATGCTAGCCATGGCTGGAACAGATATTTCAGAATTTTTGAAAGAGGTATTTAGATCTTTACTGGATTAAGAAATGTATATCCCAGAAACTTTGTAAACATCAGCAGTTGTTTCACATATATAGTAACCATCACCTGTTTTCAATTTAGTATTTAAAAACACATCACATATCAAATTATTTATCAGACTTTTGAAGTTGTCATTCAAAACAATAAAGTATTTGAATAATAGTTATAATAATAGTTATAGTAATAATAGCCTTCTGATGTGAATATTATAACATACAACTGCATCATATCTTTTATTTTTGTTTACACCTCTTGATAATATTCTGTTGAATTACATGTTGGTATAAATAATGTCTTATATAAAAAAAAAACACTAGTAAAACCCAGAAAATTAAAAACAAACAAACATTTAATTGCTATTGGAGTCAACATCAGCATGAAGAAAATTCTGATTAAGAAGGTAGAACACAGGATCACATACAATAGTTGTAATGGTTTTCAAGCTAGACCCAAAACTTGAGTGCTTTTAAATAGTTCACTATTCTTCTTTAGGAGAAAATAAGAAAAGATGTACTAAAAGCAAATGGGTAAAAGTCATGGAGTGTGATTTAAATACAGGATACATTTAAGAAACCTTAAGGAAAGATTGCCAAAAAATTTAATACACCAAGTTAAGTTTAAATTTATTCACCTTGATTTATCAAAGATGTTTCAAGACATCAAACTTGGATGTATTTACCAAGATACTTGTCTCAATTGTTCCTACATTTGTATAGGGAAAGCAGGCTATGAGTAAAGGGTGCTACTATAAAGAATGTTACTGTTCTCCTTCATGGGTATACTGTAAAGAACCTTTTTATTCCCCTTTGTGGGTATACTGTAAAGAACCTTTTTATTCCCCTTTGTGGGTATAACTGTAAAGAACCTTTATGTTCCCCTTCATGGGTATACTGTAAAGAACCTTTTTGTTCCCCTTTGTGGGTATACTGTAAAGGTCCTTTATGTTCCTCTTCGTGGGTATAACTGTAAAGAACCTTTTTGTTCCCCTTCGTGGGTATAACTGTAAAGGACCTTTATGTTCCCCTTCATGGGTATAACTGTAAAGAACCTTTATGTTCCCCTTCATTGGTATAACTGTAAAGAACCTTTTTGTTCCCCTTCGTGGGTATAACTGTAAAGGACCTTTATGTTCCCCTTCATGGGTATAACTGTAAAGAACCTTTATGTTCCCCTTCATTGGTATAACTGTAAAGAACCTTTTTGTTCCCCTTCGTGGGTATAACTGTAAAGGACCTTTATGTTCCCCTTCATTGGTATAACTGTAAAGAACCTTTTTGTTCCCCTTCATGGGTATAACTGTAAAGGACCTTTATGTTCCCCTTCGTTGGTATAACTGTAAAGAACCTTTATGTTCCCCTTCATGGGTATAACTGTAAAGGACCTTTATGTTCCCTCTCATGGGTATAACTGTAAAGGACCTTAAAGGTTTTGTGAATGATGAACAGTAGAACGATGGTAGCAACAACGAACATTTGACACGTGTGTGTACAGTAATGAACATTTAATTCTTGAATATTTCGGAATATTCATATTCCACCATCAGAAAGCTATATTGAACGTTGCTGAAGATGGAATATGTAGATTCCGAAACGTTCAAGAATTAAATATTTGTTACTACTGTACGCACACGTGTCAAATGTTTGCTGTTATTACCATCGTTCTACTGTTTGTCATTAAACTTTGATTCCCGTTGAATGAATCTGTTGCATGGTTTTATGAACTAATGCAAAAGTTTTACTTCTTATTCCTGTAGCTGGAAGCAGTACACAAAGAAAGAAGCCGTGTTAAAAATTCTACACCAGAAAATCTAAAGAAACACACCATAGAAGATGGTAAAGAAGAAGAAGAAGAAAACATAGATGAGGCTGATGAACATCATGAAGAAATTCCAACTTCTATTCCTGCTGTTCCTGTAACCTCAGCACTTCCTCCTGGTCCACCTCCAGGATTACCACCTGGTATTTCTTTTTAATTTATTTATTAACCTTGGCATTTCCTTTAATGAAAGAATTTTTTAGCAAAAATATTGTTGCCTAGTCTGATCTATCACCATTTTCAAAGGTCAGGTCATAGGTCACCAATAAATCTTTGTTTCTGTGGCGTTTTTACAATTTATAGCTACAACTGCATTCAACAAATTGAAGCATCAAAATAAGTGTTAATAAATATCAATAAAGATCAATAAAGGTGAAACTAATTGCATATGTAAAATGGAACTTTCTGATCAATATTTAAAAAATTAAAATTCTAAAGCAAAATGAAATATTTTTAATGTTTTTCTCAACATCTTGTTTCACAAGTACATTTTCGAAATTTCATGATATAAAAAATGATAAGAAAACTAAATCAAACTATATGAATTTTTAGAGCTGAAGCTATATAACATGACTATTTTTTTGTGCAATTTGGACAAGTACTTCCACTGTGCAAAGGGAAAAATTGAGATATATCAGTGCCCCCCCTCCCTCAAATCCAGAAAGGGTTAAATATGTGTAAGGTTTTGTGACTATATACCTGCATTTCTATAAATATTTCTGATTCTAGAATACAAGCAAAAAATATTTAAAAGAGTTTATAAAAGCTTTTGGTTAATGTATGATTACATATCTATAACATAAATTTTACCAGTATATAAGAGCTTTTGGTTAATGTATGGTTACATATCTATAACATACATTCTACCAGTATATAAGAACTCTTGGTTAATGTATGGTTACATATCTATAACATACATTCTGCCAGTATATAAGAGCTCTTGGTTAATATATGGTTACATATCTATAACATACATCCTGCCAGTATATAAGAGCTCTTGGTTAATATATGGTTACATATCTATAACATACATCCTGCCAGTATATAAGAGCTCTTGGTTAATACATGGTTACATATCTATAACATACATTCTACCAGTATATAAGAGCTCTTGGTTAATGTATGGTTACATATCTATAACATACATTTTACCAGTATATAAGAGGTCTTGGTTAATGTATGGTTACATATCTATAACATACATTCTACCAGTATATAAGAGCTCTTGGTTAATGTATGGCTACATATCTATAACATACATTTTACCAGTATATAAGAGGTCTTGGTTAATGTATGGTTACATATCTATAACATACATTCTACCAGTATATAAGAGCTCTTGGTTAATGTATGGTTACATATCTATAACATACATTCTACCAGTATATAAGAGCTCTTGGTTAATGTATGGTTACATATCTATAACATACATTTTACCAGTATATAAGAGCTCTTGGTTAATGTATGGTTACATATCTATAACATACATTCTACCAGTATATAAGAGCTTTTGGTTAATGTATGGTTACATATCTATAACATACATTCTGCCAGTATATAAGAGCTCTTGGTTAATGTATGGTTACATATCTATAACATACATTCTGCCAGTATATAAGAGCTCTTGGTTAATGTATGGTTACATATCTATAACATACATTTTACCAGTATATATTAGTTTATTCTTGGTTATGTAGCTATTAGTATCTATTATTCTGTGGGTGGATATGGCCAAGTGTCAAGCATACCTAGAATGTGAACCAAAGGGATTTTGATTTGCATCTTGTTGCCACTTTGAGACCATGGGTTATAACAGTGCTGACAAAATTTAGTTTGATAAAGAGTTTGAGAAAAGTTAGTGAAGGTACTCATGACCAGCTACATTTCACATAGTGTATCACTTCAAAATTAGAAATGGCTATTGACAGATATCACTTTGTGTTGTTTACATAGAAATGTTGAAACTAACAAGTTTGTTTTTGCATACTTTATTACTTGTAATTGAGTGTTAGAGTTCATTACATCTTATATTAAAGTTCCAATAATTGTTCATTTCTTTAAGTTAGCTTATGATGTATTTAATATTTCTGTTTCTTTTTAAAATTTTCAGGACCACCACCTATGATATTCCGCCCACCTCCACTTCGACCTGGTCTTGGACCACCACCACGACTAGGGCCACCAGGTATTCCTCCTCCTCCACATAGCCGACCTGTCCTTCCTCCAGGACCCCCACCAGGTCCACCTCCACGAGTTGGAACTTTACCACCACGGTTACCCCCTGGTCCTCCCCCAGGTAAGTAAAGAGTTGAGAGTGGGGGTGCTGCATAATTTTGTGAATTACTCCCAAATGACATTAATTGACAACACCTAGAATACGTAGTCACTGGTAGTTTTCCACAGGTCATTAAGATGAGAAAATGTACAAAAGGAGGTCACTAATATTGAGTCAGGATTCATAATTTAAAAAAAAAAGACATTTTTAATAATTATATGAGCAGTGATAACTAACATGACAACAACCACATAAGAAAACAGCTGTGTATTTCACAATTATAATTTTATCTTTGTATGAACATCTTCTTCAAGTATTTTAACTAATGTTTCCAATAATATATAAATACTATGTGGTGTAAGGTTGATTTCAGCATGGAAGTTTGGTTGAGTAACCCAGTAGAGCAGCATTATTTATACTCATCTTCTATTGAGTTTTCACTTGTGAAGCCATGGCACTCAGTTTTATCTTACTAATATAGTTCATAAGCAATATGCACTGTCAACATAGCTAACTTATCATATGCATGTTTTGAATTTCTTTTCAATGAGATGTTTGGCAACTGTTCTTTGTGATTCCATCTTCTTTGATATCAGATAACACCCATTCTTACAACACCCCACACTGTCACACCCATTCTTACAACATCCCATACCTTCAGAATGCTTACCTCTCCTCAGTGTAATAGGTTATTCTTACAACATCCCATACCTTCAGAATGCTTACCTCTCCTCAGTGTAATAGGTTATTCTTACAACATCCCATACCTTCAGAATGCTTACCTCTCCTCAGTGTAATAGGTTATTCTTACAACATCCCATACCTTCAGAATGCTTACCTCTCATCAGTGTAATAGGTTATTCTTACAACATCCCATACCTTCAGTATTCTTGCCTCTTGTCAATGTAACATGTAAATATAATTATTTCTGCCAGTAATATGAATTCTAACACTTATGGATAGTTTCTTTTAAAAAATGTAAAACAATAAGAGTTTTATAGCCTGTTGTTCAAAATAAAACCTAAACTTTTGTTCAGAACTCTATTTAAATGATATAATCAATCACTCTCTCAGCAATTTGTAATTTAAAATCAAAGACAATATTTAGAAATTTACACAAACACATTATCTATGTGGTTTTGATGTAAAGTTAAACCTTTAATTTTACAATGCATTATTTAAAGTATGGAAAATTATTTATTTTTTTCTCTAAGTAATACCCTATAATTGTATTGTTCTTATGTTTATAATATTGAAGCAATCGATTTATGTTCTATATTCATCATAATTCTATGTGTTCAATAACTAATACCAGATTTCAGTTATTCTTATAACTGTTGCCTAGATACCTGTTTTAAAATGGAGTTCCACAGTTAACGAATTTTTATTGCTCAGTACATTGTTCGCCGATGAAGGCCCTGAAAAGAGGGTCAAAAGTATGCAAATAAAAGTATTTTAACATAGATAAAAGTCCATGTATAATTCTACATAATAATTAATGTATGTTATGAGTCTTAAACAACATTTATTAGGGCTAGTTAAGCTTGATGTAAAATATTGTTGAACTTTTATGATATTCTTCCTGAGTAGGAGTTTCCTCACTTTCTGGTGAAACTCACAGCTGTACTGCTCATTCAGAAATTATTTTTGTAAAATGATTGAAAAAAGTTTTGCATCATTCATATTTTCTTTAATTTTTTTGAAATCATTTTAAATAAAAGCCATTATTACCTGTGCAGCGAAAAAAAACAAATTTAACCTTATTTCAAGTTTGACCTTATTTCAAATTTGTTTTTTTGCCACACAGGTAATAACAACTTTTATTAAAAAAGCTTTTTTATCAATTTGAAAATCAGAAATACAAATGAACAAACATTTGACTGCAATCATTTCCACCAATAATATGAATTCTAACACTTTTATACATGTTTAAAAAAAAAACGTTACAAAACTGTTATTATTATTATTAAACACTTATTTCTTAACAATTTGTTGTAACAAGTGACAGATGGCAACATGTACTTCTCTTTTTAAGGCTTAAGGGCGAAATTATAGGTTAAAAAAATTTGCCAACATTTTTTTGAGGAAAAAATAATAATATGTAGGTGCACACCCTCAGAATTCCTCTAGGATGCATGCAAAGTTTCAGGTTTCAGCTATGGCACTGACTGACTGACACACACACACAGAGGCTGTATTATTAGTGTAGATGAACATAATTGTATTTTCAGTAATACTTCACAATGACCATGGATTGATGCCCTTCAGGTGTAATAAGAATGTTATATATATATATATATACATATATCGTATTTTCAGTAATAATACTTGATAACCATGGATTCATGCTCTTCATGTGCAATAAGAATATTACAGAAGAACCTTGAAACAACAGGCACCATGGAATTAAGGGCAGACCTTTTCATTCTCTTTCTTTTTTCTACTATTTGCAACCAAAATAAATCGTGCAATAACAGGTACCTCGATATTCTGGACTTAGGGCAGTGTCTTTAGTCTTATTCTCTATATGGGCACTCGATAAAGCGGGCAGTTATTTTTGTATGCCTGTATGGTATACTGCTAAATTCCAAACATACCAGAAGGATGATCAATATTCAAACACATTCAATGTTTATTGGATTGGCTTTGAACTATATACTGTAATAAACGTTTCCAAAGTGCAGTCTTATTACTCTGGGGAATTCTTGTTGCAAACGCTGTAGGATACATAAGGTGATAAATTCCACATTGCGTTCTGGGAGCAGGAGTCAAGTCGTCTTATTTCTGTGTGCGTGCTTTGTTGCTCTCGAGAGTATCATATTACTGTGTCATGTAAGCAGTCTGATGACAGAAGAGATGATTTGTTTAGTTTCCGTGGGTTTCTACTTCAGACGTTGACAGTAAAATAAACATAAAAAATAAATGTGAAATGTTTAGCAGTTCAAACTCTGAAGAGAAGTACACTTTGAAACTTTGGGACCAATAATAAAAAAAAGGGCACAGCTAATCCACCCCTTGAGACCTCCTGTTGACAATACTTCATGTTATAGCAATGTGCAACTTACGAACACCAATGTCATGTGTACATCAAACAAAATGGGGGGCTTTAAAATTCAGAAATTTAGAAAACCAGCTGTTCATGGCTCATTTCTAAAGAGGGCATTTGGAAGCAGTCGGAAGTGTACCCTTAATGTCAAGGTTCTACTGCATATATGTCATTGTATTTTCAGTAATAATGTGCAATAACCATGGATTCATGCCCTCCATCATGTGTAATAAGAATATTGTGTATGAACGTCAATGTATTTTTAGTAATAATACATGGTAATTTTGGATTCATGCCAGTGAACAACTTGTGACATTTTAATATTTTATCTATAGGGATTCCTCCACTGCGGCTGGTACGACCTCCTCCAAATCTCCCACCACCACCTGGTGTTCCCTTACCCGGTATTCCACTTCCTAGTGGGCCTCCACCATCTATTGTTACAACAACATCCAATCCAAATGTTGTAAGTGCACCACCTAGTCTTATCCAGAGACCCAAGATTTCCTTGTTGACAGAAGAGGAGAAAAAGAGCTCAGCTACTATTGAAGCCAAACCACAGATACGTAACCTAAGTGTGGACATTACACGTTTTACACCGATTGCCTTGAGAATAAAACGAGAAGCCAGAAAGGGCCAAGGAAAGGGTCATCAAAGTAAGTGATAAATTTAACAGTTCTTGAATGTCTATAACAAGCTGTCAGATGGACCAATATAGGTAGAGTTTGGTTGTTTATTGTAAGGAGCAGAATAAAGAACAATAAATACAAAAATTATTTTCAGCAAATTTTGTAAGAAACGATGGTATTGTTCCTAATTTCTTACTTGGTTTGATTTACTTTTCAGCCTAGTGTAGTAAAGAATATCTATTAAATTTAACTGATTTATTTGATATTAGACTAATTTTTCTTGACTGTGGTTTAAAAGAAAATCACTCGTACTTATTGATTATCATTCTTATGTAATCAGCTGATATTATGTTTTCTCACACAGATACTGAAAGTCAAGCTTTAGTTTGACTTAGTCATTGTCACAATTTATCTTAGCTATATGCTTTACATTTGTATTAGTTATTGTTGGTTTTTAAGTCTAAATGATAAATTAGTTCCTTCTAAGTTACCCCATCAAAAGCTCATGTCCTTGTAGTTTTTGTCAGTCACATTTTTGAATATGTATATTGTATTATGCAGATCATCCATCATAAGACAAATGAAATAACTTGTATACATCAGACTTTTAATGATGTACATTGAATTTGCAATTTTCCTTCTTGTCATAAGTCAGACTGTTTCTGTTTAATAAAACATAAACATGATAAATTTGAGTAGAAATTGTAACTTTCATGGAAACTAATGTCAAAAATAATTTTTGGGAGGTGTTTAAAGACTCATTTTAAGGGGATTTCTTACACAGAATATTTGCTATAGTTTTAATGCTACAGAACCACTAGGCTTAAATAACCAAAGTTAGTTTGCTCTTTCCATTTTTTTTTCAACTTGTGTTTCTCCAAATATCTGTACCCACTGAGATGTTTTTCTACAGCGGTACCTGCACCAGTTTACAGTTTTACATAAACACATATAACCATTAGAGTATTTTATGAAAACACATGTATTTGTTGAAATATCTTACGGAAACATCTGTTCCCATTGGCATGTTTTACATGAAAACACCTGTAGCCAATGGAATGTCTTACAGAGTTTCCATTGGCATGTTTTACATGAAAACACCTGTAGCCAATGGAATGTCTTACAGAGTTTCCATTGGAATGTTTTACAGAATTGCCTGTATCTATTGGCAACTTTTACTTTTCCACAGCTGTTTTATCTCGTATTTATACCAAATTCTCTAGTTTAGTCTTTCCTGGAGGAAGATTACTTAACAAAAAGCTAGGTATTAGTTGTAAATAAGTTTATTTTTGATTTTTATTATAATCTTTACACTTACATAGTTATAAATACTTGTGAGTCACAAATAACAAGTCAGTTTTCTGAATGTTCTACTATACTTTTCTGTAAGTTATAAAAACCTGCTACAGTTAAGCTACTTTCTGAATTCAAATCTGTGTAGGCTAGAAATACAAGTTATGTATGCAGTGGGTATATCATATATGTATATGTGTTGTTATAAGGTACATATACATTGGCTATATCATATATGTATACATGTTGTTATAAGGTACATATACATTGGCTATATCATATATGTATACGTGTTGTTATAAGGTACATATACATTGGCTATATCATATATGTATACGTGTTGTTATAAGGTACATATGCAGTGGGTATATCATATATGTATACATGTTGTTATAAGGTACATATACATTGGCTATATCATATATGTATACGTGTTGTTATAAGGTACATATGCAGTGGGTATATCATATAAATGTAGATGTTACAAGTTAAGTGTACATTGGGTATATCATATATTTATAGGTGTTGTTATAAGTTACATATACATTGGGTATATCATATATGTAATGTAAGTATGTTTTTGCTTTGTTTCTCAGATTTGTATTTATATTATTCAGTTTTCATGCTTTGATAAATATAAAGCTTAGAGAATGTCATTATTCCCATGTATATCATTATTACCAGAATGTTGTTGTTCCCATGTATGGTTCTCTTGTAATTTTCTCTGCTTTCTGTTTCCAGTTGGAGAAGCAACAAAAGAATCCCAGTTGATTAATGCTTTGAGGGCACCTTCAGTTACAGCACCCACAAAAGATGATGCTTATGAACAATTCATGAAAGAAATGGAGGGATTACTATGAAAAAGGGGAGAGAACCTCATTTTGTAAAATAGTTGTATGTGTTGATATTTTGTGTGAATTGACATGAACATTTCAGTGCCTATTCAGAGTAAATGTTTTTTTTTGTTTTTTCTGCTATGGCTAATTTTCATACCACTGTTGTTTTGATCAGTCTGTAAGCCTAACAATAATTAGATAATGTTTTTAATGTCATACTTCTGTTAAAAAACATTTCTGGCAATAAAATTAAAATTTGAATATATTGCTGAAAATGTTTTCTTTCTTGATAGATCACTTACCAAATGAACTGCAAAATGGATTCTGTTAGAACTAAGGATCCATCTAACTTAAACAAGTGATTTCAAAATGGTTTGTGTTAGAACTAAGGATCCATCTAACTTAGGCAAGTGATTTCAAAATGATTTGTGTTAGAACTGATGATCCATCTATCTTAGGCAAGTGATTTCAAAATGGTTTCCGTTAGAACT